TTTTGGGACAGAGAGAGACAGAGCATGAACGGGGGAGGGGCAGAGAGAGAGGGAGACACAGAATCGGAAACAGGCTCCAGGCTCTGAGCCATCAGCCCAGAGCCCGACGCGGGGCTCGAACTCACGGACCGCGAGATCGTGACCTGGCTGAAGTCGGACGCTTAACCGACTGCGCCACCCAGGTGCCCCTGGAACAATTTGTAAACAAAGCCATAGAAACAAGTATCCCTGGGCTGAAGACGAAAACCACACTCCTCTCGGCCATGGCCACGGAGTCTCCCGGTCTCTGCGGGCCACTTGGATGCCCAGCAGCCCACAGACTCTACTCTTGGAGGTGTGAGGGTCCCCTCAGGGTTCAGATTCCAGGGCACTCATACTTTCTTCAGAAAGCTAGAAATTGGGCAAACAAGGAGACCTAAGGTTAGGAGGAAGCTAGGGTTGCTGAGAACCTGCCAACGTGAATCCTTTTTTTTTTTTTTAAGTTTATTTATTTTGGGGGCGGTGGGGGAGAGAGAGAGAGAGAGAGAGAGAGATTGAGAATCCCAACAGGCTCTACACTGTCCGCGCAGAGCCCGACATGGGGCTCGGACTCATGAACCGTAAGATAATGACCTGAGCCGAAATCAAGAGTCTGACTCTCAACCCACCGAGCCACCCGGGTGCCCCCTTGAATCCATTTTGTTTAGTGCCTTGAATTGTTCTTTGAGGTGGGTGTTGTGATTGTTCTATGGACAAAGAGGTAAAAGCTCAGTGAGGTGAACCGACAGGCTAATTAGTGGAAGAGCAGCCGTTTGGATGGCCACCGTCTGTCCCTCGGTCTAGCGCCCCTGTTGCTACGCCTCTAGGGACACTGGCATCCCGGTGGTCGCAGACCTCTGTCACTGCGTGCGTCTGATCTACCTTTACCTCTCACGACTTAACATGCCGGACTGTGTGCATGCAGAACAGTCTCTTAATTTTCAGAAGCTTTTGGGGTGACCTCAGAGCCCCGAATTCCTTGCAGGAACCAGACCGTTGTTCTAAGACCGTAGGGAGATGGGATGTCGTGATGTTCACAGAATCACATACACCGTGTAACTAATGCTTGGCGTACGAACGCATCATAGTGTGTAATAAACACCGGTAATGAATTAACGAAGAGCATGGGATAAGTGTGATAGAGTGATTCGGAGACACTTCTCGGCTTCCAGAAACCGAAAGTCCCCCAACGTTCGAGCACTATATGGCAATATGTCCCCCAACGTTCGAGCGATGGCAAAGTGCATACGGGGGGGACGCCCCAACTCTACTCCGGGCGATGGTGAAGGGCCAGCAAATGTCATTCACTGCTCTTCCCCCAGGCCTCCTGGACACGCTGATCAAAATGAACACGATTCTGGAAGACATTCAGAAGTCTCTGGATATGTATCTGGAGACCAAGCGCCATATTTTCCCCCGCTTCTACTTCCTGTCCAACGATGACCTCCTGGAGATTCTGGGCCAGTCCCGCAACCCGGAGGCCGTGCAGCCACACCTCAAAAAATGCTTTGACAACATCAAATTGCTGAGAATGCAGAAGGTTGGGGGAGCTGGCCGGGATGGGGTGGAGGGCGGGGGACAGATGCCGATGTCACCGTAGTCAAGGCCTTGGAGGGGACCGTGCCCTCCACACAGGAGGGGGATAGTCATGATTCTGGATCATCTGGGATAGGACTTGTCAGAACTGGTAATTTTGGGGGGTGGGGAGAGGAGCAGAGACCACCCCCAAAGGGCCCACGTACCTTCCAGGGGGATGTCAGGAGTGGGCAGGCCAGACCGTTAGCGCTTCCTGGTTTCGCAGGTTGGGGGCCCCAGCAGCAGATGGGAGGCTGTGGGGATGTTCTCGGGTGACGGCGAGTATGTGGACTTCCTGCACTCAGTACTCTTAGAAGGGCCCGTGGAGGTGAGTCGTGGTGAGGGTCGAAGCGTCAGGCCGATTCCTTTTCCCCTCGGAGAGTTCGCTCAGCTCCGTGAGGAGGGAACGTCCCTGGGAAGGGACATCAGTCACTCTCCGCCTCCTGAAAACTCTGACCTCTGCCCTGAACCTGAAAACCACACAGGCCGCCCCCCCCTCACCTCTGCTTCCCTCAGGGGCCCGGCCAGCGGCTGCCTGATCCTGCTTGTCCCCCCCGGGCCCAGAGTCCCAGAGTCCTGTTTCCTGAGACCCTGCCCTCTGGGGACGCTTGTCCCCAGCCCCGAGGCCCAGCCACTCTGCCCTCTCGCCTCCCCCAGTCCTGGCTTGGCGACGTGGAGCGGACCATGAGGGTGACCCTGCGGGACCTTCTCCGGAACTGCCGTGTGGCCCTCAAGAAGTTTCTCAACAAGAGGGACAAGTGGGTGAAGGAGTGGGCTGGCCAGGTGAGCTGGGCCTGGGCAGGTGGGGAGACGAGAAAGACGGAGCCGCACGGGAGCAGCAGATAGAAAAAGGCAGAACCTTGTGTCTTGTTCCCCCCCACCCCGTTCTGGGCTCGGGCCTGGCTTCCCTGCGCGCCGGCCCCTTAGCTCCTGCCCTTGGACGCGTGCCCGTCCCTCGGGGCAGATATTGAGACAGGAGTAGCGCCGGGTCCTGGAAGGGGCCGGGGGCGGGGGGCAGAGGTGTGGACACCGCCTCTGTGCACCCCAGATGGTGATCACTGCCAGTCAGATCCAGTGGACGGCTGATGTCACCAAGTGCTTGCTGACGGCCAAGGAGCGGGGAGACAAGAAGATCCTCAAGGTCATGAAGAAGAAGCAGGTGGGGGGCCTACAAGTATGGGGTGGGCCTGCTGGGGGTTGGAGGGGTTAACGCCGGAGTCAGAGGTCAAGGTCAGAACGAGGGTGCTTGGTGGCGGAAGTCCAGCCAAGAAGGTCTGGCGGACGCTGGGGGGATCAGGCGTTTCGGGAGCTGAAAGTCGTGTGAGGCTGGGATGAGGCGTGTTGGGGTTTGGTTGAGTTGCCCCCCCCCCCCC